ACAAATATCAGTTGTAGTCTCTTCTTTTAATTTTTGGGGGCACGTGCCTAAGAGTGGAATTGTTGGATCATATGGTAATTCTGTGTTTCACTTTTTGAGAACAAACCACAATTTTTAAAAGGTTGAAAAAACTGCTTATTGTGAAGACATGTCAGTGATTCATTTAACTCATTAAAGAGGGAACCAGCATCCTAATTTTAGCAGCCACACTGGCAAAGTTGCTTGGGAGCCGTGCCTAAATAATGCTGAAAGACTCTTATCAGTTTGTGGCAATGTCTCAACAGTTACTTCAGTTTTATCCAGCCCTGTTTCTAGAGGTGATTTGTGGTATCTAATAATATCAAAAATACAATGAAGTAATTGAAATAGTACTAAATGTTCAGGAGCCATACGATGATAGTCATATCAGCAAGTGAGCTATGCATTAATTCAATTGGCTATAACAGGGATCCCCAAATCCCCAGGCTGGGGACCAGTACCAGTACTTGTTAGGAAATGGGCCACACAGCAGAAGGTGAGCAGCTGGTGGGGGACAAGAGAAGCTTTATCTGCCACTCCCCATTGCTCACCTTATGCCTGAACCACCCCACTCCCCGCCACATTCATGGAAAAATTGTCTTCTAGGAAACCAGTTCCTGATGCCAAAAGGTTGGGGACTGCTGGGCTGTAGGGCTTAGCTTTTAGTTCCCTGAATGCCAGACAAAAAGGAAAACATGATGATAGGCTTACATTGTATTTCCCAGTAATAGGAAGCACATACAAAGACCTTTTGTAAGGCAGTTAAATCAAATATGCCTAGCACACAGTAAATACCTGTATGATGATATTATAGTTTTATATGGATTAAACAAATGAAACATTAAATTAAGAAATTCATCTTCAAAATTTTCATATCATGATCACTGACTGAAATAAGATAACATGGCGTTAATAACAGGCTTATAAAAGATACATCGGCACTGTTATCTGACCCTTAAATATAAGTTTAGGACATGGTATTTTATCATAATACCACGAATGCATATTTGAAATACTGAGGATTAAAAATGCAATTTTTGATGATCTGATAAGACACAGCAGTTATGTTGTTGTTTAAGTGGCTAAGTTGTGTCTGACTCTTTTGTGACCCCATGGACTATAGCCTGCCAGACTCCTCTGGGATTTTCCATGGGAAATTCCGGTCCATGAGATTTCTCAGGCAAGAATACTGGAGTAGATTGACATTTCCTTCTCCAGCGGATCTTCCTGACTCATGAGTCCAAACCATGTCTCCTGCATTGGTAGACAGATTCTTTACTATCTGAGCCACCAAGGAAACCCTCCACAGCAGTTAGAGGAGGTAATAAAATAGCTTTTAGTGTATATACTTTTGGAATACCTATCATTTTGACGGATCATTCAGTTCAGTTCAGTGACTCAGTCGTGTCCGGCTCTTTGCAACACCATGGACTGAAGCAGGCCAGGCTTCCCTATCCATCACCAACTCCCGGAGTTACTCAAACTCATGTCCATCGAGTCGATGATGCCATCCAACCAGCTCACCCTCCATTTTCCCCTTTTCCTGCCCTCAATCTTTCCCAGCATCAGGGTCTTTTCAGATGAGTCAGTTCTTCACATCAGGTGGCCAAAGTACTGGAGCATCAGCTTCAGCATCAGTTCTTCCAATGAATATTTGGGACTGATTTCATTTAGGATGCACTGGTTGGATCTCCTTGCTGTCCAAGGGATTCTCAAGAGTTCTCTCCAAGAACAGAGTTCAAAAGCATCAATTCTTCTGCACTCAGCTTTCTTTATAGTCCAACACTCACATACATGACTACTGGAAAAACCATAGCTTTGACTAGGTGGACCTTTGTTGGCAAAGTGATATCTCTGCTTTTTAATATGCTGTCTAGGTTGGTCATAACTTTTCTTCCAAGGAGCAATGTCTTTAAATTTCATGGCTGTAGTCACCATCTGTAGTGATTTTGGAACCAAAAAAATAGTCTGTCACTGTTTCCACTATTTCCCTATATATTTGCTGTGAAGTGATGGGACCAGATGCCATAATCTTAGTTTTCTGAATGTTGAATTTTAAGCAAAGTGTTTCACTCTACTCTTTCACTTTCATCAGGAGACTATTTAGTTCCTCTTCGCATTCTGCCATCCTTATGGGATGGTGTCATCTGCATATCTGAGATTATTGATACTTCTCCCAGCAATCTTGATTCCATCTTGTGCTTCATCCAGTCCAGCATTTCTCATGATGTACTCTGCATATAAGTTAAATAAACAGGATGACAATATACAGCCTTGCCGTACTCTTTTCCCAATTTGAAAATAGTCTGTTGTTTCATGTCCAGTTCTAACTGTTGCTTCTTGACCTGCATACAGATTTCTCAGGAGTCAGGTCAGATGGACTCACAGTCCCATCTCTTGAAGAATTTTCCAGTTTGTTACGATCCACATAGTCAAGGCACTGGCATAGTCAATAAAGAAGAAATAGATGTTTTTCTGGAACTCTCTTGCTTTTTCGATGACCCAGTGGATATTGGCAATTTGATCTCTGGTTCTTCTGCCTTTTCTAAATCCAGCTTAAATATCTGGAGTTCACGGTTCATGGACTGTTGAAGCCTGGCTTGGAGAATTTTAAGCATTACTTTACTAGCGTGAGAGATGAGTGCAGTTGTGCGGTAGTTTGAGCATTCTTTGGGATTGCTTTTCTTTGGGATTGGAATGAAAACTGACCTTTTCCAGTTCTGTGGCCACTGCTGAGTTTTCCAAATTTGCTGGCATATTGAATGCAACACTTTCACAGCATAATCTTTTAGGATTTGAAATAGCTCAATTGGAATTCCATCACCTCCACTAGCTTTGTTCATAGTGATACTTCCTAAAGCCCACTTGACTTCGCATTCCAGAATGTCTGGGCCCTAGGTGAGTGATCACACCATATCCACTGGTTTCCAGTAGCATATTGGGCACCTACTGACCTGGGGAGTTCATCTTTCAGTGTCCTATCTTTTTGCCTTTTCATACTATTTGTGGGGTTCTCAAGGCAGGAATATTGAAGTGGTTTGCCATTCCCTTCTCTGATGGAGCACATTTTGTCAGAACTCTCCACCATGACCCATCTGTCTTGGGTGGCCCTACATGGCATGGTTCATAGTTTCACTGAGTTACACAAGGCTGTGGTCTATGTGATTAGTTTGGTTAGTTTTCTGAGATTGTGGTTTTCAGTCTGTCTGTCCTCTGATGGAGAAGGATAAGAGGCTTATGGAAGCTTCCTGATGGGACAGACTGACTGAGGGGGAAACTGGGTCTTGTTCTGATGGGCATAGCCATGCTCAGTAAATCTTTAATCCAATTTTCTGTTGATGGATGGAGCTATTTCTCACTTCTAATAATAATATTAGATCTTATTATTTAATAAAAGATAAGCTATTATCTCTTCCTATTTAAATATTTGCATTTTGATTTGAAGTTGATGATCTGTTTCATTTTGATCACATCAAAAGGCTATGGACAGATACTATTTTGTGAATTTTGAATACTTGAAAATAAGGATGCTTAAGCCCAAAGTGGTTTACACCTTGGACATTTTTGTGCATATTCTCAGTTCAGCATCTAAAATTAAAATCAAAAGACCTGAGCATGATGCCACAATGCTGAGTTTGACTTTATATACTAACAACCCAATGTGTGTCAGAATGCCATTTCACTGGCAAATAAATGTATTGAGGTGTTAAATATGTTTCTACGGTCATATATTCTTAGAATCTCTGTGTCTTGATATAACGCAAGTTTTACAAAGTTGTAAAATTAAAACTTTGGAGAGAGGCAAAAAACTGAGGTAAGCAGCTACTTAGTGGATTCCCAAATGTTTTTCTACTATTGCTGAATTTAGCATAATATGTACAAATTTTGTACATACTTTTGTACATACTTTCTACTCTTTTGCATAATCCAAATCTTATTTGAATATCTCTCTAATCATTTACTTGTATGAGTTATTGAGGATAATTTTTCTTTTCTTTCTCAAATATGTATATAATCCAGTGTTATATGTATAGTTTTATTTTTATTTATTTTACTTTTGGAGAAGGAAATGGCAACCACTCCAGTACTCTTGCCTGGAAAATATGGAGGGGCCTGGTGGGCTACAGCCCATGGGGTCATGAAGAGTTGGACACAACTGAGCGACTTCACTTTCACGCATTGGAGAAGGAAATGGCAGCCCACTCCAGTGTTCTTGCCTGGAGAATCCCAGGGATGGGGGAGCCTGGTGGGCTGCCATCTATGGAGTTGCACAGAGTTGGACACGACTGAAGTGACTCAGCAGCAGTAGCATTTTACTTTTATTGAAATATAGTTGATTTGTACTGTTAATTTCAGCTGTACAGCAAAGTGATTAAGGTATACATATGCATATTCTTTTTCATATTCTTTTCTGTTATGGTTTATCGCTAGATATTGAATATAGTTCCCCATGTTCTGTAAGTAGGTTCTTATTGTTTACTCATCCTATATATAATAGTTTGCGTCTGCTAATCCCAAACTCCCACTCCATGCCTCCACCACCCCCCTCGTAGTTTTATATACATATAAATTATTTTTGTAATTTTCCGTTGAGTAAAAGACAAGTGAAATATTTTCTCTTGGCTTCTTATTTATTTTTAACTAAAATTTATCCTACTTTGGGGGGAAGAATAATGGTAATATTTAGCAGCACATATGCTTTTATGACAATACCAACTAACCGCCTGGTATAATTAGTGTTTGTGTTAAGGTAAAGCAATTACGGTCAAGTACTGTGATGACATTTGAACTTGCAAGTGCTAAGAGGATGTATGTAGAGTCATTAGAAAGACACAAAAGATACACGAGCTATTGTGATCCTAGTTGATGTTAGAAGAGCAAGCATGTTTGTGCTGCTAATCTTTGAACCCTTTTTATTCTAGTGCTGAATGTGTTCTTAAAAATAGCAGTAAACACACACATGCACGCATAATTTTTTACAGGATTATAGAGTCAACATCTTCCTGAGGCAAAAATGGAACGATCCCAGGTTGAAGCTCCCTAGTGATTTCCGGGGCTCGGATGCCCTGACCGTGGACCCTACAATGTACAAGTGTCTGTGGAAACCTGATTTATTTTTTGCAAATGAAAAAAGTGCCAATTTTCATGATGTCACCCAGGAAAACATCCTTCTCTTCATTTTTCGAGATGGAGATGTCCTTGTCAGTATGAGGTATTCTTTTTGTGGCTTATATTTGTGGATTTATATTTTTCTTTAAAAATCAGTGTGTCGCTGAGGCCTGTGTTAAACGAGTTCTCAGATCTCTTCTTCTGCTTTCAGGTTATCTATTACTCTTTCCTGCCCTTTGGATTTGACCTTGTTTCCCATGGATACACAGCGTTGCAAGATGCAACTTGAGAGCTGTATGTAAATGAGACCCTGAGTGCCTGTAGGAATAAAGTGTTTAACATTCCGAGACCATGCGCGCTACTAATATCATAGACAGCAATGCTGAAACTAATGCTTTTGATTGCAAATAGGCATTAGAATTGGAGAAGGGAAAGTCTACCCACGCCAGTGTTCTGGCCTGGAGAATTCCATGGACTGTATAGTCCATGGCGTCGCAAAGAGTTGGACACGATTGAGAGGCTTTCACTTTACTTCATTTCAGGCATTAGAATGGTAGCTCAGAAGGTAAAGAATCCCCCTGCAATGTGGGAGACCTGGGTTTGATCTCTGGGATTGGAAGATATCCTGGAGAAGGGAATGGCTACTCACTCCTGTTTTCTTTGCCTGGAGAATTCCATGGACAGGGGAGCCAGCCAGGCTACAGTCCACGGAGTCCCAAAGAGTCATACATGACTGAGTGACTTTCAGTTCACTTCAGGCATTAGGATAATTTATGGAGGGAAATTATAAATTTTATATTTTTTATATTTTATTAGAATTATGTTTTACTAGATAATTTGTGCTAAGATAGATAATCTTTTTGATATTTTGTTTTGGCTTTTTATTCATTTTTAAAAATTTCAGTTGTTGTTTAGGTGTAGTTTGTACAATTCTAACTTATTCCAATTGCCATCTCCATCTGAATTAATAATATAGGCAAGATAAAGGAGAAAATGATGTCTGTCCTAATAACTTTTTTAATGTTAAAACTACATTTTTCACAGCAGAAAAATTGGAAAACCCTGAAAAAAAAATTAGCTAAATTTTACCAGGCATTCACTTTCTATGGATCTATAAAAAGATTGTTTACAAAATTGGATTTGGGATTTTCTTTGCTTCTGTGATCATGTATTTTTCAGTTTCTGGAAGATATATTAGATGTCTTCACCAAAAGGATTAGCTCTAAAATATGGTAAATTGCTATGAAGTTTGTCACGTGAAAATAAAAGCAAGTAATAAAACTTGACAAACTAACACTAATGTAAGGAGACTTCAGCCTGAATACCCATATACTGTGTCCTATTTCTACAGAGAATAACCTTATAAAATGTATTGTATGTACTTGATGATATGCTTTAGAGTTATTTAGTGGTTATTAGTTGTTGTTGCCATTTATTTTTAATTTACTGAAGCTGGATCCTAAAGTTGAGCAATATTTATTGCTTTCTGACTATAATTTGAGATTTTGCAGATGTAAGTGTATGTATGTACTAAGTGTATGTATGTACTTGGTGAATGTGTTGCATATGTGTGTCTGTGTATCAACATATATTTGTATAAATTTCAAATGTGTATATATATTGACTTCTGTTACTGTATACACTAAAGTATGGCTTTTAAAAATACAGGCATGTAAGAGTTGAATGGTAGGTTATTATATATCATAAACCCATGGGCCTTTGAATTGTAGCCAGGTTACCTAAACCCACAGTATGGGCTCCTGGAGGCGCTAGTGATGGAGTGATGTCCCTTTGAGGAGCTGTTTCATTGTTTTTCTGCGGCCATGCAACTTCTCTAGGGAAGTTGGTACTTAATTCTTCCAGAAAATTTGTTTTGGTGCTTAAGTTTCTCTAAAAATTTCCAGGTAGCATATGGGCATGATTTGTAAATGTCTACATTCGGGAAGCTAGTATCACTTATTTCTTACTATTTTACTGATGACAGTTCAGAATTCTGACAAAGACAAATGTACTACCATTTTTGACACCCTGGATTTTAAACATTTGCCATATGCTGATTACTTTAGCTTGTCCTTTCTATAAGCCAATTATCTGTAACTTTTGTATGAATAAAAGTGCATTAGTGGCCATAGATTTTTACCTCTTTACATTTCTAACAGAAGTTTCATGTAAGAATGGCCTATTGTTTTACCATTTCTATGTTTAATATTTGGATGTTACAATATTGAAGTAGTGTTAATGTTATATCCCAAGCTAGTATTTTGTTTATTTTTGTTTATAGTTGGTTACACAACTGATGACTTAAGATTTATCTGGCAGTCGGGGGATCCTGTCCAGTTAGAAAAAATTGCCTTGCCTCAATTTGATATTAAAAAGGAAGATATTGAATATGGTAACTGCACAAAATATTATAAAGGCACTGGTAAGTAATATCCTTTAAATTAAAGAAAACTAAGTCCTATTCCAAAGATTTATTTCAATACTGTAATATGCTAAGGACAGAATAGAGAACACTAGTTAAAAAATAGGTTTGAATGGTTCATACTGATATATTTAAATCTTTCATAAAATTACATCTACTAAAGTGAAACATTTTTTTATTCAGTAGTTTTGCTTTTCTTTATGTAATTACAAATAAAAGAGTTTTCAATTTTTATTTTATTTTATTTTATATTTTATTCTCCAGGCAGTGATATTCTTAGATGTTGCCAAGAAATTCTGCCTTCTGAAGGGTCAGATATTATGGGTGTGAACCATGTAACCCATTTATTGTCATCTGTTGTCATTAGGGCAGTTTTTTGATGTTGGTTGACTGCATATTCTTGATTTTCAAAAACATTCATCTTTATGCTCTGCAGGAAATAATAAGCACATGAGGTAATTGGGCATTGGTAAATATTCACTACATAATATTCTTGCCCTAGGTTATGGAACAGCCAATTATGAAAGCTCAACAAATTAATCTCATTCATTAAATTACATCAAGCTTTGCAGAAGTGAAAATGCAGTACTCACTGATCAATACTTTCATAACATGATTAGTATTCAAACCTTTGTGTCTCCTATGGTAGTTATAGGTTATTGAGGACTTTAGATATTAAATATAGTGTTATTGCCCTTAGCAATGTAAATAAAAAGATGATTGAATTTTGATCATTATATTCATATTAATAATCACTCTAACTTGTAAATTACTATACAGGTCTAAGTCTATATCAGGAAGTAAATCAAAGATATTTATGAATAGATGAAATTAAAGTTTAAGTTTTTGCAGCATTTATGCTGACTTTGCAAAAATTAAAATAAATAGTGTGATTGTGGAAAATTTACAGAGGTCACATGTTTGAGCTAAAATTCTGCCATTGTGACATCATTAAGGAAGGAAGAACAAGATGATTTAAACATTCCTATTTGACACTAGAATAGAAGCGTAAACAGTTGCATATGGCATCATTGTAATAAACATGACACAGGCCAGCTCGGAAATAAAGTTAGTTTAAGCATCCGCTATCACTGACCTTTAAATAAATTAACAGATTATATAACATTTATATATTAAGAGTCCCTTCTCTTATAGAGTTTATAGTATTTTAGGACAAGAAGCAAAATAAGCAAATACACTACTGAAAGAATTGCCAATTTTTTTTTAATGGAAAAAAGAGCACTCTTAAAACTTTGGCCGGCAGTGCACTCAACGAAGAAATCATAGATTTCAATGATTGTCGGATATGGACATGATCTTTTTGCTCATTCTGAGCCAGCTCCTGTATTGAACACATAAAATAACTGAAACACACAGTGAACGACTTACTGAATGTCAAGGACAAATCAATGTCAGCTGTGACCTGGGCACAGTGTTCCTTCTCCTCTCCTGCTCCTCACTCAAATTAAAGAGACTGATTACAGTTTTTAGGGATTTTTACAAATGAAATGAAAAAATGAACTTGAAAGCCAAAAGAAGTGTTTTTGGGAGGATTGTTGTATAGAAACACATTTAGTAGATGGCTTTTTGAGTTCTTGCTGTAAGGCATTGTTTTAAGTGTCTTGTAGGAATTCTATAATTTAATCCTCACAGGCATGTTATGAGTTCATTGAGTGTTATTATATTTGTTTTTTTAAAAATTTTTTTTCTTTTCATTTATTTTTATTAGTTGGAGGCTAATTACTTCACAACATTTCAGTGGGTTTTGTTATACATTGACATGAATCAGCCATGGAGTTACATGTATTCCCCATCCCGATCCCCCCTCCCACCTCCCTCTCCACCCGATTCCTCTGGGTCTTCCCAGTGCACCAGGCCCGAGCACTTGTCTCATGCATCCAACCTGGGCTGGTGATCTGTTTCACCCTAGATAATATACATGTTTCGATGCTGTTCTCTTGAAACATCCCACCCTCGCCTTCTCCCACAGAGTCCAAAAGTCTGTTCTATACATCTGTGTCTCTTTTTCTGTTTTGCATATAGGGTTATCGTTACCATCTTTCTAAATTCCATATATATGTGTTAGTATACTGTAATGGTCTTTATCTTTCTGGCTTACTTCGCTCTGTATAATGGGCTCCAGTTTCATCCATCTCATTAGAACTGATTCAAATGAATTCTTTTTAATGGCTGAGTAATATTCCATGGTGTATATGTACCACAGCTTCCTCATCCATTCGTCTGCTGATGGGCATCTAGGTTGCTTCCATGTCCTGGCTATTATAAACAGTGCTGCGATGAACATTGGGGTGCACGTGTCTCTTTCAGATCTGGTTTCCTCGGTGTGTATGCCCAGAAGTGGGATTGCTGGGTCATATGGCAGTTCTATTTCCAGCTTTTTAAGAAATCTCCACACTGTTTTCCATAGTGGCTGTACTAATTTGCATTCCCACCAACAGTGTAAGAGGGTTCCCTTTTCTCCACACCCTCTCCAGCATTTATTGCTTGTAGACTTTTGGATAGCAGCCATCCTGACTGGCGTGTAATGGTACCTCATTGTGGTTTTGATTTGCATTTCTCTGATAATGAGTGATGTTGAGCATCTTTTCATGTGTTTGTTAGCCATCTGTATGTCTTCCTTGGAGAAATGTCTGTTTAGTTCTTTGGCCCATTTTTTGATTGGGTCATTTATTTTTCTGGAGTTGAGCTGGAGGAGTTGCTTGTATATTTTTGAGATTAATCCTTTGTCTGTTGCTTCGTTTGCTATTATTTTCTCCCAATCTGAGGGCTGTCTTTTCACCTTGCTTATAGTTTCCTTTGTTGTGCAAAAGCTTTTAAGTTTCATTAGGTCCCATTTGTTTATTTTTGCTTTTATTTCCAATATTCTGGGAGATGGGTCATAGAGGATCCTGCTGTGATTTATGTCAGAGAGTGTTTTGCCTATATTTGGAAAATAGTTACCCATATCCAGATTGTATGCTTCACATTTCAAAATGAATAATCTCTAAATTGTTTTGAGAAGTTTGAAATATCTTTTATTGAAGTTTTAAACTTCATCTAGAGATGAAAATGAATTAGTAATTTTATATCTAATTTTATGTAATATAAAATTATGTAAAAGCATTGAAAACTCTGGTGTTATTCATTTTTTTCACCTTCAAGCTCTGCATTTAAAAGTTTTTGTTTGGAATTCAGCAGTAAATAGAGGATAGATCCCTGCTCTTTCATAGATATATTGGCAAGCAAATAAATGAAATATAATTCCTTTTAGTTCTAAGAAGCAACTAGGGTGTGCTGTGATGGAGAGTATTTGGGGAAATACTCAAGATTATGACTAATAAATCTTTCCTAGACTTTTGTGTACGGTATTTTTTGGTTTATCATAAATGAGTCAATTATATCTCGTTATTTACAGAAAATAACAAAAACTCATGGCTAAGAGAGTAATAATTGAAACTATATTTCAGTAAACATGCTTTATCAACATTTATATGAATCACTGTATGTATATAAGAAACATTTTAGTGTTTGGATAATACTTAGAAATGTATGTAGAAAAATAGAACATTCAAAATACATGGAATGCTTAACAGTATAGGATAGTGGATAAGACAGAGAGCAGCATGTACAAAAGGATGGCCAATATTTTACTTAATTTGTACAAAATTATCCAAAAATCATGATTTGACTTTAACTTCATTAAAAATTATTGTTTTTGTAATTGTAGAAATTACACAGGTGGATAAAAATATGGGTATGCAAGTATAATTCCAGCTCCAATTTCTATACTTACATTAGAAGCCCAAGTGAATAATAATCAAATAAAGCCTCATAAGAAATAGTAAATTGAATTTGCCAATGAATATTTATATAATTAGCTGCCCACCTGCCTCTCATAAATGTAACAGTACCACGAAAAGATTAAAAAAATCAAGAAATGTTTCTGATAAAAGCTTATGGAGCAAATCAGTGTTATATCCAAGCGTGTATTTTTCTGCCAAATGCATCCAAGTCCTGGGAAGTTCCCCAGGGGGTGCCTTCGGATGAAGGACTCTAGTTTCTAGGCTGTCATCTAAATGTGGAGGGATGGGATACAAAATGCATTTGAAAGTAAGCAACTTTATAGCAAATTGTTATGATATTTGTGACAACCTAGGCTCCTCAAGATACATAATAAACATATATGTGTCTTTCCCTACTTCATAGGCACTAGGTGGATGTGAAATTACCTTGAGCAAGTGATGCTCTTACAAAGCAAGGTACTTCAGAACCACTTGTGGAAAACACTGTGGGCCTTCTTGATCACAACAAATAGACTTGTAAAAGATGACATTTTGGAAGTTTTGCACATGATTGTTAGTTGGAAGCTTATGTTCTTATTTGTCCAAGCAGGAAGTTGAAATAAGAGATGGGCACTGAAAAGGGAGAGGAAGTTTCCATCGGTTTGCCTTTCATGTCTTTTTAGAACCTGTGCACAATTTTCACAAATTGCTTAGTTTTAATGAAATTAAAGGGACTGGCAACCCACTCCAGTTTTTGCCTGGATAATTGCATGGACAGAGGAGCTTGGCAGGCCACAGTCCATTGGGTCACAAAGAGTCAGACACAACTGAGCAGCTAACAATTTCACTTTCAGTGAAATTAAAATTTAAAAAATACAAACTCTGTGCATTGCTTTTTTTGATATAATATGGAAACATTTGGCATAATTAGAATTTACTTCAGTTCAAATCAGCTCTTTATATCTGTTATGTATTAGCCCTAATATCTTTCTAATCTCTCCAATGTATCAATCATTATAATTCACATTAGGAATAGGATAGATTTCTAATCTTGGAGAAGGAAATGGCAACCCACTCCAGTACTCTTGCCTGGAGAATCCCATGAATAGAGGAGCCTGGCAAGCTACAGTCCATGAGGTCGCAAGAGTCAAACAAGACTTAGTGACTAAATCATCAAATCAATCAGATTTCTAATCTAAGTTATTTGATAAAAGGATAAGAATAGCCATTCTTTTATTCAAGTTTTTAAGATGTGGATTGTGTGCAGTTACTACTCTAGATACTGCTAACGAATAAAAATGACAACTATTGTAGCATCTGAAGTATACGTCTTCTTCCCAACTAGGAAAAAGAGATAAATACAACTTTTTAAACTAGAGCATAGTAAAAAGTAATATTGCCTTTTGTTCCGTAATTATTTTATTTATTCACTGTTCATTCATTTGTTTTGACATTTGAAAATAATTTTGTACGGTTTAAGCTGAGCACAGCTGAAAATATTTTAACTTTTTGAAATTCATACATAACCTTCCTTTTGTTGAATGGGAAATGACATTTTTATCTAAAGTAAGTATTAAAAGAAATCATCTCAGATGTCTGGAAATGTCTCTTCTGTGCCAATGCTAGGAGAATATTTGTGTCACTTATTTTCTTTCTCTAGTCAGCAAAGGCTATTATGAGGCTGCCCATGATTTGTGATTAATTTGGGAGACTAGTTGATATCTTGGCAGCTCTAGAATGATGTTGCAGAGCGGTGTCTGCTTTAGTCTATGTCTGTGAAAGTGAAATCCTTTCCCTCAATTAGGGAACATTCAAGGTCCTGGAGTGGAGCCAGGGGAGGCTTGGGAGAGATGTCAGACGTTTGCTGTCTGTAACCTTTTATATTCAAGGACTGGGGACATTCATTTCTTACCCTTGCTAATGTTTACCTCTAACACTGTCTTCAGGGTTAAGGTATAAATATGCATATGAGCTACTGTAGTTGTCCTCCCAGATAAGAAGTGGTTCACAGGGCTGAAAATGATGCTGACAATGCATAATCCAGGAGTGTTTGTAGACTTGCACTGCTTCAATTTGCTGTTCCCAGTGGCTCTCAGAGCACCCAAGGATAATAAAAAGTTTAAGTCATTGCAAAATCTCTGAACAAAGACTTAGAAGCTGAGACTGGGTATCACAGAGCAGCCTGGATGTCTGCTTCTCAGTCTCATAATGGAGATGAGAAAAGTTGGGTGAAACAGGTCCCATCATTCCATCCTCTTAGATCACATAAATGATGTCTTTTTACAGAACAAAATACTCCATTTTTGGTGGAGTTCACTTTGTGAAATTGCCCCAAGCAGAAATGACTCCTGACTTCTGTGCACACTGTGATTTTGCAGTCGGATGTGTCAGGAACCTCACCCCTGTTTGCGTCTGTCTGGCAGGGTACTACACGTGTGTGGAGGTCATCTTCACCCTGAGGAGGCAAGTGGGCTTCTACATGATGGGCGTCTACGCCCCAACCCTGCTCATCGTGGTTCTCTCCTGGCTTTCCTTCTGGATCAACCCCGATGCCAGTGCTGCCAGAGTGCCCCTCGGTAAAGTGTCTCTCTTGGGGAGTCAGGAGCATGCTTGTGTCTTTACAGAAGTGACTACATAATTTTGAATTCATACTAAATCATTTGGAAACAGTGAGTCTTGGAATTGTTTGTAGCCTTTTCCCCAGACTTCCTCCAATCCTTGACATTGAACTAGATTTTCTCTGTGTTTATGCATTCTATAATTAAACCAAGTTTTCTCTTTTTGTGTTCTTGGGGTATTTTAAGCAGTTAATCCATCCTAAATTGATGCTCATGAAATAATTATTAATAAGCGATTTTAATGGATAATGGAAGCCTACAATCTCCAGTGGTGCCAAGCTTAAAAAAAAATGACTATTTGGGTAGAAATCTTTCTAAATCATTTTATATACTATCTCATACTTTCATCAGGGAATGTGTAATAACATTCATCATTTTAAAAATGACTTGGCATCATTTTCCTGAACACTAATTATTGTGTGTGCACCATCAGGAGAGCTAGACAGAATAGGATCTGGTGATCCTATAGATATATATCAAGCCTATTTGTTATTTTTAATGCTCTGTAACATAGAAACACCATTAGCCAGAATTGGAAATTATATCTGTATTAAGGATTAAATAGTCTTTGGTTGGGAAAATAATTGAGAGCCTTTCTTCTGGGTAAAGTGAATAAACTTCAAAATAAGTGCATCGTGACAACATTTTGATTGCTTGGAGAGTTTTAAAATTTTTCATTCATGTGTAAGTGTGTGTGTTTTCTGAACATCACATGGAACTTACATAGGTAAGTCTGTGAAATATCTGACCTCTCAGCAACCTGATTAGTTCCAGCGGTTTTTTTTTTTTTTTCTATCATCAAGAATGCCTTGTGCAAGCCTTCCTCCTGACTTACTGGAGGAATTAAATGAAATACAGATATTAAAGAATAGGAAATCAGGAAAGAGCCAATGAAAATGACAGTTTTATCCAGATAAGAAATTTGGTGATTTTTCTCTAATAAAAACCACAGAGACCAGATCTATATCTTAATAAGCAAAAAAAAAAAAAAAAAACAAGNTAAATAGTTTATAAAATAGATTTTAAAAAGCAACTCAGCCTTACTGAATTTATGCTCTCTTGGGAAGAAACAGACACCAAATAAGTACAACATATAATATGTAAGATGGAGACACAGGATGGAAAGTTGAGGGCAGCAGCCTGCTTGTGGAGAACTGCCTCAATGAGAAAGTGATGTTGAGAAGAGCAGGAAGGAGGGGAGTGAATGGACCACTGTGGATTTCTAGGAAGAGAGTGTGATTGGTCAGCGATCAGGGCAGCATCCTTGAGGCAGAAGCCTGCCTAGGATGCTAAGGAGTCCAGTGAGAGAAGGGGGAATCAGTATATGAGGTCAGAAAATTAACAGTGGTGAGAGATGGGCTATGGAACACTTCTTAAGTAATTCTGGTGACTTTGGCTTTTATTCAGACTGAAATCTGAAGGCCCTGAGGGCTTTTGAGTATGATCTGATTGAAACTGTAACTGTTTCTCTTTACTGCTTTGTTTAGAATAGTCTGAAAGGCAGCAAAGGCAGCAAAAATAGAAGCAAGGAAAGCAGGTAGGAAGCCTGAAATAATCACTGGTGTGATCCAGGGAGTGTTAGTGGAGGTACTTATGAATATTAGATGATGGATGTGGCAGAGAGAGATTTGTAGATGTGTTGCATGTGGGATTTAAGGAAGTAGGATAAACTTAAGAGATGAAATTGCCATTAACAAAGGTGAGTAAAGCTTCAGGCAGAGTAGTTTTGAGAAAGCGGGGAGGTTCTGGATGCACTGAGTTTGAGATGTCTGTTAGGTGGAGATAGCAGGTAGGCAGTAGGCTGTACAAGTCTAGGGTGTCTTGGAGAAAAAAAAATTGGAGATCTGAATTTGAGATTTCTCAGGATTTAGATGGTATTTAGAGGGGTGAGTGGAATGGAGGTAGCGGAGTCTCAGGGCTAAATCCTTGAGATTGAGAAGATGAGGAACAACCCGTGTGATGTGGTTTCCTAGAATCCTGCCAAGTGGATAATTATGTGTTTTCAGGGAAGGAGAGTGACCAGTCAGTGCCTGTAGATCAAGGCCAGGGCTAAAGATTGCCCTTAACTTTAGCAGCCTGGGGAGTCAGTGGCATGCAGGACAAAGAGTGTCCGTGGAGTAAGGAGAAGGAGAAAGCCTGGTGGGAGTGACTTCCGGAGAGCACAGGAAGGGGAGAGATGCCCTCTGGAGATGGGCAGTGTGAATAACTCGTTGGACACCGTTAGGTGCCAAAAGTAAAATAGGATGGGTAAATAGTAAGGGTGGGAATGGGAGTCGAGAAGCGTTCTTGGCTTTGTTTTTTTTAAGGCAGACTATCAGCACATGGTTATTTTTGGTGGAAAATAATCAGTAGGAAAGGAAAAATTAGCAATGGAAGAAGTTCAGCAGTAG